TGATGATCAGGACTGAGCAATTCATCCATGCAACATTGCAAAGGTCAGCTGTGCTTCTAGTGTTTTACTCTTGATGTGACAACATCTAAGTTTCACCCGAGACTCCTGCATGGCTTATGCATCTTCTTTTGCGTTTGCATTTGCAGGGAATGAGCCAGCTGATGAGGATGTTGATATTGGTGGAAATGAACCGCCAGTCTCTAGCTACCCCTCTGTTGAGATAGAGAAGGACATGGACCATAGAAGCAGTAAGTGCATCAGCGCAGGTAGCTCTAGTGGTAAGTTTTATCTTTATCTAAGTTATCATTTTGTTTATGTGTTTGTTCTCTGAGAATTTTTTACTATATTTTAGTTTTATATTATTTCTTCTTTTTAGGTTGTATCATCTTTTTATTCCTAGATGAAACTTAGTGGGTGATTTTTGGTGCTTTCTGCTATTTAAACATACTTACATGTCTTTCTGTCATGAGGGTTTTTTACTGGATTTGTTGTTATTTAGGTATACAAGTAGTTTTTTTTGTGTTTGCAAAGGGGGGAATGAGCTTCTTCTGTTAGGTTTGAAGTGTTATATCAGGCATAGGACATGCAGAGACTAAGATTTAGTGTCCTGTAATAGAATCGAAATTGGTTGACTTGCTTTGATGTTCTAGGAATGGCATACAAAAGAAAACATCAGAAAGCAAGTGAACCATCACAATCATGTATGGGTTCCGTGCAAGGTTGGGTCAGTTATCGAAAATGCATAAACTGATACTTTTGCTCATGGTTTATTTATTACTCTTGTTATCTACTAGTGGTAAGGAATGCTGTTTCAATTGTAAATTCCGATGAAACATTCTAATACTTTGTTTTTGTATGTGCAATATTTAAGTTGTAGTTGTTGTTGTTGATTGCCTTGTTATCATGTCTTCTGTATATTTTTGCAGATTCAGACCCCAGCAGTTCTGATAATGAATCTGATGGTGATAAAGAGGAAAGTCCTGCAAATGCATCTAAGGTATGTCCCATTTTGGTTTAGCCACCAATACTGCCACAACAACTGTGTGCAGTCTTGTCTTATGGTGTATCCACTACTATAATTTATGCCAATGCATAAATCTTATCATGTCAATTTATATATTTCTTTATTTTTCCTCAAAAGAAAATTATTTGGTCAATTTACTTCAGAATAGTTGCTTTCAGGTGCCAGGAGCCATGGATTCTGGAGCTCAATCAGATAAAAAGACAAGTATTGATAATCCTCTTGATAGAAATCGTGAGTGTCTTTGTTTTGTAGCCTATTGTTGTGCACTCCACACATGCAAATACATCCTTGGAATAACAAATGGATAAGCCAAGTTGCTTATTGTGTATGCAAACTGTTGTGGATTGTTGATGGATCTTATAGTAGTCTAAAATGAAGTATGAATCTGAAACTGGCTTGGAGGGTTATATATACGTCAATCTTCTGAAGTTTAGACCATGAGTTGTTTTAGATATCCACTGGGAGTTATCTATTGGATTTTTCATTTCAAAGCTTAATCATGTGGATTGATTTAATTGGATTTGTTTGGATGATTGAGCTATAGCAATTTGCAACTGGATTTGTTTCCCTAGAATACACTGCTTTTTATGTGACTAGATTTGGATGTTTCTCTGGTTTTGTATTACTTTGGGGAGCTTTAGTACATGCAAATCACATTATATGGTCTCTTCTGAAATTTACATTGATTAGAGCTCCCAAGCTACCGATATGATTGTAAGACTAATTCCACTTATTCATGCAGAGTCTATCAGTGGGTTGGATCAGCTGGATCAGGCTTCCCAGCCAAAGCCAAGTTCTGTTGAGTCAGACGGTCGCCAAGATGGTAAGAAAAAAGAGTGTGGAAGAAAATACTTGCATCCTTAAGAATAGTTTGACTCATGGAAAATGACCTCCTGTAAAAAGAAAAAACTGTTCAGAAAATATTCAATGGAAAGAAAGTTTTTCCACCCTCTGGAGTCGAAAATATTCTCTCACTAATTGATGCATTGAAAAATCATTGTTTTCTTATGAACCTTATTAAAGTGTTTTATCTGTAAGCCCAAGCCACATCAGAAGGGGTCTTGAAAGCACTGAAAATGTAGGTTTTTCAACCTGACGACTGGACTATAATAAGAGGAGGCAGGGCAGGACTGTTATTTTTTTTCCTGTATGATGTTTAATTTTTCAAGTGACCAATAAAAAATCTTCCAAATTATGACATAAAATTAACACTTCAACTCTAACTCTGAAATTTGAACTTAGTAGAAATATCTACTGAACTATTGGCATGGACGGAAACCGAACTTCTAAAAGGTTTGGACAAAAGGCTGGACTGAGTAGAAATAATGGTCTGATTTTTTTGGTTTGAACTTGTCCGACCAAATTAAGAACACCCCTAAATTGATATAACATTTGAGAAAGATTTGATGAAAATATTGGCAAATTTCAATATTTGCTTCATAATACAAAAGTTATCCAAACTCCAAACTCATAATTTGATTACAAATATAGATAGATATTACTCATAAACAACAGAATCAAAGAAAAAGCAAGTAACAAGGAGATCAAAATAGAAGTAGAAAGTTTTGGCTTCACTGGAAAAGAGGATTGAACAAAGGATCGAAAGATAGAGAGAAGGTGGTACTTTATGGAGGAAGAGGAAAAATAAAATAAACTGGAAAGGGGGAATGGATTTGAAGAGTGGACAGAGAGCCAAAATGGATGAAGTACTGGAGTTAATGAAGTTAGAATCAAAGCAATGGACAGAGCCAAAATGGATGTTGAAGTTAATGAAGTCAGAATGAAAGCAATTGACAGAGAGCCAAAATGGATGAAGTACTGGAGTTAATGAAGTTAGAATGAAAGCAACTTTCCGTTTCCTAAGGAGGCAATTTCCTTTTTGTTTCAAATTTCATTTCTTTACTATTCAGTTAACCGAATGGAGAAAAATTTTCAAAATCGCTTATGAGAAAACGGTCTTAGATTCACTGTATCTTCATTCTTACTATGTATCTTGTTGATATTTTAGGGGATAGTGCTCCAAGTGAGAGGCAGGTTTCCCCGGAAAAGCAATATAGGGCTGCCTTGTTGAAGAATCGATATGCAGATATCATTTTGAAATCCCGTGAGAAGACACTCTCACAGGTTGGTTACAAATCAAGCTCCTTGTCTACTTTGCAAAGCCCGTTATTAGAACATTTTGAACCATCGATGTGATTTGATATAATTTGATCTGGATGGGATCAGAATGACAAGGGTGACCCAGAGAAACTTCGTCGGAAGAGAGAGGAACTTGAACTACAGAAGAAGAAAGGTGACAGCCCTTACTCATGGATTTCTATGCTTTGTTACTTATTGTGATCACTGGTACATTCCTTTTGTTCTTGAGTTACCTGGCTCTCTAGTAATTATAAGTTGAATGATTATGGCAGAAAAAGCGCGGTTACAAGCAGAAGCCAAGGCTGCTGAAGATGCTCAAAAGCGGGCAGAAGCAGAAGCTGCAGCTGAGGCTAGAAAAAAGAGAGAACTCGAGAGAGAAGCAGCCCGACAGGCATTGGCAGAGGTAAATATGCGACTAATGCATTTGATAAATGGGGATATATTTTTTTAAAAAAAGGTGGTTTCCTGTTTTTGGTTTTGCTGTAATGTTTTTCCTGAACACTGCAGATGGAAAAGACTGTCGTAGTCGATGAAAATCCTCGTTTTCTTCAAGACTTAGAAATGCTTAGGACTGGCCCTGCTGAGCATTTGCCAAGTTCAGTTGATGAGACAAGCCCGGACAACTCTCAAGATGGGTTGGGCAGTTTCAAGTTTGGAGCCAGTAACCCTCTGGAACAACTTGGTTTGTTCATGAAAGATGATGAAGAAGAGGAAGAAGGTGAGCCCCATACAACTTCCGATCCCGTTAATGATGTTGAGGAAGGGGAAATTGATTGAGATCAGCTCCTTGTATTGTCATGTTAGTATAAAGAACATAAAATATCTTGATCCATTGGACCTAAGAAAAGCAGAACAGAGACAAAAGTGAAACTTGCATGGGTACTTTTTCTATGTCCTTTTGTCTTTGGCTGCTTTGAACTTGAGAAAAGAACGATATATACCAAAGGTGATACTTGATAGGAAAGAAGCATGGTTGTAGGGCAAGTTATTATGCCCATGAGCAAAATGTGTAGTTGTGAACTAGTGCTGGAGGACAGAGAACTGGAGACTTGGGTGTCAAACGAAAAATGAGCAGCAGCCTGCATTCTAGCCAAAGTATGAAATTTAGAGTTTAATCCTGGTTTAGCATTTTGTTGTGATGACGGAACGTGTTGAGGAGAAAAAAGAAAACAGGAACTGGACATTTTGAATACTATTTATATAATCATCAATTCAGCTGTCTCATTTTACAATTGTTGTCATGGAGTTTGTATAAGAAAACACAGTTGGTTGTTGTGACAGTAATGGAAGTATTTTTGAGTAGTAGGCAATTTCTATGGACTGAAAATTGACTTATACAAGAATTAGTTTGCAACTGTACATTTTTCAGATTTGTTGCATCTCTGTGGGATTGTGTTGTATCTCTGTGCAATTTCTATGGATCTGGGTGTGAAGAGCCATGGAGCCTGTTGCTTACCCACAATCTAGGTTAGCTTATGCCTCCTCTTCTGACCACCCCTTAACCTTTTTTGTTCTCTTTTTTTTTTTTGGTTGAAGTTAAATGTTTAGTTTGGACTATTTAATATATCTATGAATTCCCATCTTATTTCTATGGTTAATTGATATAATCATATTAGATTATGATATGATTTGGGGACATTAATCTTCTACATTATATGATTCTTTATATATAAATATATGTTTTGTTTTTGAGTGGATTTCTGTGTGTTATTGTTCTTTGTGGACGTCATTAATGGAGTACTTCTGGATTCATCTCTCACCCAGCTATTTGAACGAGCTCGAACTGGTAGTTCTGCAATTCCTTTTTTTTTTTTTCCTTAAATCCTGTCTGTTATATAAAATAAACATATATATATATGTAGTAAAATAAAATATCGTAATATAATATATTTCCCTAAAATAAAAATATGATTTACCGACTTTGTTTTTACTATGGTGGGTAAAGAAATTCATCCTGATAACTTAGTTGTAAAGGGTGAAGAACAGAAGAGGAAAAAAAAATGTGGTCTGATTAGAATTATAATTTTTTTTTTCATTCCAATGTGTTTTTGTAATATTCTGAGTATGAAATTTAGACGCAGAATAATATAATTTAATCTTTAAAATTTGTAAGGTTTAATTTTAATTGTTTTTTTTAGATATATAGATTTTAAATGAATTTAAAAATAATTTCAGAAAGTAGGACAAAATTATAAATAAAATGAGGTATAATTGAAAGAAAAATATGAAAACTAGAGTCAAATCGCAAAAAGGAAAGTATGGACAACGTAGGACGACCACATCAGTAGCACGACGGTCAGGATGCGCCACATAGTGGACATACTGGCACGGGCTCCACTCGGAAGCCACATAAGCGATTCGTGTGTTCTTGCGCACACGAACAGTCCAAATTAATTTACCGGATAAGCTCTATCGGATGGTCTACGCATTTTCGATTAAACGACCCAGATTTACTTCCTTAATCAGCGAGATTAGACGACTGAGGATGATCCACGCGGACCTGGAATGGACGACTCAGATCGAGGGGAGGGGGCTATTTAAACATCTCTTCAGACAAACTCTAACCCTAGCTGATGTGCACCTTATTGGAGAATAAGAAGAAGGGTGGCTAGAAGGGAAGCCCAGACACTGGAGGAAGTCGGTGCCACCGTGCTGGAGATCCAAAACGCATCGGTGAGTGTGATTTTTTTCACGTTCTTCCTGTTTCTCCGTCCTTTAGCCGTCTAACACATTTTCGATACAGAATAACCGAAAATAATTGTAACCCGCAAGGAAGGAACGACGGAGCTCGACTGAACAGTCGCATTGGAAGGCCAAAACCACCGATAAGCTTATGTTTTCTCCCTCTTTTTGCGGAAAAACACCTTCTAACCATGATTTAAACAGATTTATACCGAAAACTGGTCAAAACCAGCCTGACCAAAAGGAGAAGCCGCCGGAGGAGGACCAGGTAGTGGAGCACGGCGGCATCGCTGCGCCGGAACCCTAACCCGACCCCTCGGTTAGATTTTTGTCATTTTTACCATTTTTTCGCATACGTTTACGTCATTTGGATGTAAGTTTTGATCTTATCAAGAAAACTCAAGAAATCTAAGAATTGGAAACTGGCGAGAACTGTAGTAAAAAAGGTGGTGTTTTGGATATCGACCCAAGGTAAAAATCTCTCACTTTTTTTTTCTGTTACAGTTAAATTGAGGCCAAACTAATAATAAATTAAAATTTTAGATAATTAGCGGTCCTTTAATTAATTAAGTACAAGTTGCCAATGAAACAATAACCGGTCAGTCTATGTCTATTTTGAGTTTTAATTGTATTGGTTATTTTTTCAATCGTTTATTATACTTATCTATTCATTCTTCTATTTACTTTAATTTATTCATTTTAAATTTATGGCTAATATGATAAGTTTTCTTAATTTATGTTGTCATGTCGTTTTATTGTATGTATAATACGTTTCTGTTAGTATAATGCATGTTTATTTCATTCACATACTCTAAAATATGAATTCCGTACTCATGTGTTGCTTCGGGTACTGATATACGTGTCTTTTAAAGTTAAATAGTAAATAAAAGAAAAGATATGCGTGAATTAACGGTATTAAATGAAAGGGGCTTGCCGGGTGTATTGAAAAATGGTGTACGGACTTGTTGAATAGGGTGAACCCTACCGCAGACGTTTACCCTAAGTCGTACAAAGTTGAGAAGTTCTATACCGGGACAGGGTTTGGAAAGTTGTTTAAATT